CCCCTCACCAGCTTCGTTGCCCTTCTCTGGACCCGCTCCAGCACCTCAATGTCCCTCTTGTGGTAGGGGGCCCAAAACTGGACACAGTACTCGAGGTGGGGTCTCACCAGTGCCCTCACCGCAGCGCAGGCAGGATACAGGTTGTTCTTGTAGGAGCTGCTGATGTAGCGCCCGCTCTCCGTCTTCACCTTCTTCTTGTCCTCTTGGCCCGTCTGCCCCACGAACCGCTTCTTCTTGCGGTCCCTGTGAGAGAGGGGAGGGCGGTGGGACCCTCAGCCCTGATTTCCACTCCCCCAGCCCACGGCCAGACCCCACTCACCACTTCAGCAGCTGCTTGTTCTTGTTGAGGTTGTGGTTTTCATCACCCATGAGATCCAGGACGGCTCCGGCCGCTTGCTGCTCGAAGGCGCTGCCCTCGCCACCCACGCTCAGCCTGTGAAGGGTGGGAGATGAGAGCAGCCCCCCCCTCAAGGCTGGGACAGGATGGTGGGAAGAGTAAGAGCCCCCCAGACTCACCCCCTCTAACTCTCAAAGTCCTTGGGCCGGTAGGGGATGTAGAAGTCCTCGTCCCGCTGCGCTGGCTGCTGCGGCTTTTTCCTGGCACCGTCTTCTCCCCCTCGGTCCCGTTTTCGCTTCCGGCCCATGTTGGAGAACACGTCCTGGAAGGAGACAGCAGAGGGGCTGGAGGAGCCGTGTTCCCCCACCGGTCACTGCACTGGCCCCCAAACAGCCAGGGGCCACCTTGCAGCAGGTCCCACAGCAAATCCCCCCCCCCACCATTCCTGCCCCCTTACCTGGAGGTTTTCCTCCTCTCCTTCTCCTTCCTCGGGCACGGGGGGTGCTGGGCCCAGCCGTGCTTTGAGAGCTGCCTCCCTCTTCTCCTGCTGCCCACGCTGGTACTTCTCAATCAGAGCGTGGTCGTGGCGCCGCTTCGACCGCATCACGGTGCTGGCCAGCGTCCGGGACGTGGCGTTGATCTCAAAGATGGTCTGCTCCCCCAGGGTGGGAGTGTGAGCCCCGGTGAGCTGCACGGCCACAAGGACCTTCCCTCCCCACCCCAGGCACCTCCTGCCCAAGGACAGGTCTCAACTCACCGCCTTGGACTTGTAGCTTTTAATGCTGTCCACCATCTTCAGCCTCTCCAGCTCGGTGTCTTCAAAGCGAGCACCTGGGGACAGCAGGCATGGATTAGCTCCTCGGTGAGAAGAACAGCGTCCCCTCCCTCGCTGTCCCCAAGGCACTCACTGAAGAGGGGGTGGATGCCCAGCTGGGCCACCTCCAGGTCCTTCGCCCTCTTGATGGACTCGGGCGAGGGGCCGGGGCGGGAGCGCAGGTACTGCTTGTGGGCGTTGTCGGCGAGGGCGGGCAGGGAGAGGGGCACGGATTAGCTCCTCGGGGAGAAGAACAGTGTCCCCTCCCTCGCTGTCCCCAAGGCACTCACTGAAGAGGGGGTGGATGCCCAGCTGGGCCACCTCCAGGTCCTTCGCCCTCTTGATGGACTCGGGCGAGGGGCCGGGGCGGGAGCGCAGGTACTGCTTGTGGGCGTTGTCGGCGACGCGGCGCAGGCTGCACAGCTCCAGCGAGCCCTCGTGGTCCGTCAGCAGCAGCGACTCCTCATCATCCACCAGGCTCTGGGGGACACGGCCCAGGACCCCGCCAGCATCTGCAGCCCAAGGGCCGGGGGGACACGGTGTCACCTCGCTGGAACCCACCTTGAGCTGTCACAGTGGGCACGGCAGCAATCCGGGATGTACCAGAGCAAAGCTAACGGCCACGGGGAGCTCGGTGGGGTTCAATCAGCATCACCAACACACAGGGTGTGTCAGAGCCCCCAGCACACCAGTTTCCCCAGCTGCACCCCAGTAACGACAGCATATCATCAACCGTGAACTCCAGCATTGGCAAAGGATAAACCCCTGGTGGCCACGTGGCCAGCATCCCAGCTCCGGGGGAACTTCAATCACAAACTCCAACACTGGCCAAGAATAAACCCCTGGTGGCCACGTGGCCAGCATCCCAGCTCAGGAGGACACGCAGCCACCCCAATGCCTGTGACAGGGTCTGCCTTACCAGCGGGCATCTCCTGGGCTCCGGCGAGGACGAGCGGGCGCCCCAGGAAGAGGTGGAGGTCAAAGACGTAGGGCATCTCATCGGGAGCCACCAGCGAGTAGGCAGTGCCGCTCCGGCCAGCGCGGGCCACACGACCTGGCCAGGAGGAGGAGAGTGAGAAACCAGCCCCAGAACCAGCCCAGCCTGTCCCCACCTGGGCAGGGACCCACTGGTGCCCATACGGGTGACATTCACCAGGTGGGCACGGCTGGCAAGGGGCTGTGGGTCACTGGGCAAGGAGGCAAAGAGAAGGCCACCCCTCCAGCCCTGCCCCCAAGAGCCCCTGCAGTCCAACTGGGAGATCAGGGACATTCCTGTCCCTCTCTTTGTCCCCAGCCCATCTCCTCATGTCACAACACAGCAACCTCCTGCCCCAAAGGTGTCACCACCAAGTCAGGGGCACCAGTGCCAGCCCAGCAGGCAGGGAAAATCAGGGGACAAGGGACAGCCCACTCACATTCTCCTTGTCACCCTGGGGACCCCCAGGTTACAGGGACCTTTGCGCAAGGCTCCGGTACCCACCGACGCGATGCAGGAACAGCTTGCCCTTGGCGGGGAAGCTGTAGTTGATGACGTTGTCCAACATGGGGATGTCGAGCCCGCGGGCGGCCACGTCCGTGACCAGCAGCACCGGGCACTTGCCCTGGGCAAACTTGGCGATGTTGATCTTGCGGGCGGTCTGGTCCAGCGAGCTGTAGATGTGTGTGCAGCGGATGCCCTGGGCCGTCAGCAGCTGGAGGTGGGGAAGAGAGATCAGATCCTACCTGATCCACGCACCCTAAGCCAAGAGACAGGCCCACCCCGTGGCCCTGAGACCCCAGGGTGACTACCCGGACTCCCAAATCCCACTGCGCTCCCCCCTCTCGCCGAGGATGCAGCACATCCACAACCACACATGCTCAAGGATTTCTTCCTCAACCCAGCAAAACAGAGGTGGAGACTCCAGCAGGGACGTTCTCACAGATGCAGACCCCACGTGGGTCTGGAACGGGGCCTCGGGCACCCCCCTCCCACCCCAGCAGCCTGTCCTGGGCACCCCCAAATGCCACTTGCCTCCTTGAGATACTCCGTGTGGTGCTTGGTGGCCACGAAGACGACCGTCTGGTCCTGGGGCTTGACCACGCTGCGGAGCAGGTGGAGCAGCACGGCCGGTTTGTCGTCCCCGCGCACGTGGAAGAACGCCAGCTGCCGAGGGAG